TTATTAGTTTCTTTGGCTGTCATATGGTTTTAGCATATAAACCAAAAGGAAATTTAGGCTTCTAAAAAAGTTCTGATAACTAAAATTAAAAAACCGATGATTATTGAAAGCAGGTAGAACAATTAACCAAAGGAACAGTCCAACCCCAATTTAATGCTAATTCTTTAAAGGAAGTTCAAATTCCAACTCCCAGTTTAGAAAAGCAAAGAGAAATTGTTCAAAAACGAGAAAAAGACTTATTAATAATTGGTTATCAAAAACAAAGCCTACAATTACTAAAAGAAAAACAGCAAAAATTTTTAAATAACCTTTGATAAATATTAACCTATTATTATGCTGTGAGATATTAGATATCCCATAAGGAAACCAAAATGAAAGTGTGAAGCATGTAATAAGTATTACATACCTAGCAATCAAATAGAAGTAAGGTGCGGATACTTTTGGGCTGATAATCGTTTATGTAAATGATGCCAAAAACTCCCTATAAAAGAGTTAAATGAGATGTTAAAAATTAATGGATGTAGAACAGGGGAAATTATAAAAAATGAGATGACTTGTAAAAGATGTCAACAATATCTCTCTTTGAATAATGAAAGTGGAATTTGTATTAATTGTGAAAAAGAATTAAAATAACTTATTATGGAATGTTCTAAATGTAAAAAGCAGTTAGATATTAATAATGCTGTTTATAACTGCGTAGATTGCCAGCAATATTTTTGTGATGAGGAGGGGAAAACTTTGAAAGGAACAAGTGAAAGAATAAATTTTAATTTTCTCTGTTATGATTGTAATGACAAAATATCTAAAAAAAGAGATAGAGAGGCAGAAAGAAAAGAGTTTATAAGAAAACAAAGTGAAAGAATTATCAAAGAGCAACAAAATGAAATACTAACCAAACAATCACTTCATATTGATGGGAACGATGATATGAAAAGATAAAGATGCCTAATTTTGAAGTTATGAAAGATTACTTATGAAAATGAAAAAAAGATTTTCAAGGCAAAAAAATGCCTTGTAGTGGTTGTGTTATGTTGAACTTTATGGCTCAGAATGAGTTATTGATATGCCTATCTACTTAACATTTTCTTTTCCAAAAATCTCGATAGAAAAAGATGAACAAGGAAATTATTATGAAAGGCAAATTGAAGTAGAAAAAAACTATTGTCTTCGTTGTGCTAACAAAATAATAAATGGTTGAAGAGAGTGAGGACTAAATAAACTTAATGATAGTTTTGAAAAAAGAGAAAGGGAGAAAGAAATAGCAAAATACTATCATTAATATTGTAGAGTAATATTTTTGTGTAAATAATTATATATGGAGATATCCCTGAGAAAAGAAAGCGAACAATTACAAAAAACTACTATTCCCTCACTTTTGTCGGCTACTCGCCAGTGATATTTTTGGGATTTAAAAAATAAAAGTGTAGGGAAAATAGCTCCCCAGATTGCCAAAATATTGCGGGGGAAAAATAAGAAAGGTTTTTTTCCTAATCTTGACCTGGGCAATTATGTAGTATTAGTAAATGCTAAACATACTACTTTTACTGGTAATAATAAGTTAGATAATAAGAATTATTATAATCATTCTGGCTACCCAGGTGGGCTACGCACTCGAAGCACCCGCTTAATGTTGGAAAAGTACCCCTGCGAGTTAGTTTTTCGGATTATCAAAGGCATGGTGCCACCCACTAAATTAGGTCGCAAACAGTTAAAAAGATTATTTATTTATCCCGAGAGAAAGCATAATTTACAGGCTCAGGAGAAGGACTTTAATGTAGTATTATAAATACGTCTTTACTTATTATCTATACTCTATATAACTCGTGTGTAAAATTATGTTAATAAGAATATGTCAGGAATAAAAGAATTATTTAAATATTGGTTTAGGCACGCTAGCAGTTAGCAGTTTATCCGTTATCGCTTATTTGGTAATTAAACAAACTAAATTGCCCAAAGTAGAGTTGCCGAAGAAAAAACCAGTAAAATAGGTAAGGAAAAAACGAGAAGGTTCCAGCGGCGGCCCTTCTCCTAATTTTAAAGCTAAAAGAGCAAAAAAATAGAAGCGTCTGGCTAATTTTAACTTACTAAAAATTACTAAAAACTTATTAAAAAGGTTAAGGAGGTGTGGCCGAGCGGTTGAAGGCGGTAGTCTTGAAAACTACTAATACACCGTATTCCCGGGTTCGAATCCCGGCGCCTCCTCCAAAATATCATACTAATGAGATTTTTTAAATAGTTATTACTCTTTATCATTTAATTTCTATTTATTACCAAACACTATTCCGAGAATTATTAGAAGAACTAAAATTAACAGAAGTTTTCTTACTTTAAACCCTGATAATTAGGCAATTTCTTACCTAACCAATTTTCACTTTTTATCTATATTATAATTTTATGTTTCTGATATGGGTTCCTATATGAGATGCTTAAAATAATAATTATATAGGCAATATGTAAGGTTAATTGTTATCCTACACTTGAAAACAAGTTAATGTATCTTTGAAAACTAGACAGAACCAATTTACCTGTGAGTGAATTCTCGCAGTTCAATTTTTTAAGAGTTTGATCCTAGCTCAGGATTAACGTTGGTAGTATGCCTAACACATGCAAGTCGAACGGGGTTGTAGCAATACAATCTAGTGGCGAACGGGTGAGTAATGCTTATCTAACTTGCCAATTAGTGGGGGATAACCCTAGGAAACCAGGGCTAATACCGCATTGGTTGCTTCGGCAATGAAAGGAAGTCGCAAGATTTTCGCTAATTGATAGGGATAAGTCGTATTAGTTAGTTGGTAGGGTAATGGCCTACCAAGACAGTGATGCGTAGCCAGTCTGAGAGGATGAATGGCCACAAGGGAACTGAGACACGGTC